ATATAAAATACACTAGGCCCTCCTAGATCCTCCTTAGACAACTTCCAGTTGCTCAGGACTGCAGTTGGGAAACCACTGTTTATTTAGTCTCTGGAACCAGCCTCCGCTCTTACAGGCCATGGCATGAAGGAACAATTCACCCCTCTCTCTCCTACTGGGTTCAAGATTAGAACTGAGAACCGGAGAGTCAAGGTGAGCTGAGTCAGTTCGCATGGCAAGTTAACTTACTGGGTGATGATAATATTGATATCAAAAAGGTACAAGGCAGTCCTCCACCAAGACTAACAGATTTAAAAAATATTTTTTGAATGGGCTTCGGAGAATAAAGGACTTTTCTATCACTTTGATTTCATCATTGTTGTCTTTGTTGTTGTTGTTATGTACTGTTGAGTTGCATCCCACCCAAAGCTGATAGTGGTTACCTCCACGTTAGAGGAATGGGGTTGTGATCCCGTACAGACATCAGGATCCCTCTGACTAACATCTGATGTTGTATTTCTTCATCTGACTGGTAGCTTCCCAAGTATTTTCCTTATAATTATTTTTTTTAATTTTTTATTAGTTTTAAAAATTTTTATTATTTTTATCACTCATATGTTTGCTTTATAATTCTTTAAGCTCTGCAAACTATTTTTTACAGTGACTGGGGCAATCGGGATGGGAGTGTCAGAGACATTGTGATTGGCACAGGACAGAGCAGGGTTTAGGGTTGTTGTTCATAGGGTCATTAGGAGTCGCAAGTGACTTGACGGCACTTAACAACAACAACTCATATTCAAGGGAGCTCGGGTGGCCTTGTAGCTAGAGAGTTTCACTGCCAAGCCCAAGGCAGCTGGTTCAAGTCCACCAGCTGCTCCACAGGAGACAGATGGGCATTCTCCTACCATGCGGTTTGCAGCCTCTGAAAACCAGCAGGTGGGGGTCAGCTATAAGTCAGTTTTGACTCAGCAGCGTACACAAAGCAATGATTCATATTTATGATCTAGCTCACAAATTTAAAACTGGAAGGCTCCTATAAATCTCGCAGCCAAACAGCAACAACACACTTGATTAGGGTTTATCAACCATTCTACAGCTTTAAACCCAAGAACGACCCCTGTTGTCTGTTGACAAGAGCCAGCATAAAACCAAACTCTCTTTGTTAAAAGATGATTAAGACAGGAAATCTAGTCAGCCCTAGAGCTCACAACGAACATGAAAGTCCAAGGCCAAGGGTGCCTTAACCTTTAGCAGTAGGAAATGCATAACTCTAAAATTATTGCAGAAAAAAAAATTCTCAGGAAGCATCTGCTAATGCTCTCAGTAGTGTACAATGGAAGCTGAACTCTGTAGAAAAGTAGACCAGGGGCCTTTGAAGAGACTGTGTCCAGATTACAATACAATGTCAATAAAGGAGAAATTAACTGGGATGAAGAGAGTGTAACCTGAAAAGCAGATACACCACACACACACACACACACACACACACACACACACTATGGACAGACTCTTATTGCTAAACTTGTTGCCCTTGAGTCCGACCCTCCGGCAGGCTTTCAAGCCTGAAATCACATGAGAGAAGAGTGAATTTGACCTGCCTTCCTTTAAGTGAGCACAACTCCTTACCCATTAGGCTACTAGAGTTCCTGGGTTATTGTACATAATGTCAGCCCCACAAATAGTTATAATGATGAACAAAAACCTCTCACATTCAGAGTTATTATCCTTAAAACACCCTAGCTGCTGTCCAGCCCATGCACTCCCCTAACCTCCTAGACAACTGTATCCTACTTGAACAGTTTCATACTTCTCCCTCCTTGAGCTTCCCTAATACCTCCTTCTCCTCATAGCCATGGTGGTGTTTCTACTTCCCTGGGAAAATAGCAGGCATCAGAAGGGACCTTCCGCAATTTGCCGTCTACCAAATGCCAAAACCTATGCTAGTTTCCTAGGCCTGCCAGACAAAGCAGCATTAACATCTCATTTTTAGAACCAGAAATACATCCACTCACAGTTCTGGAGAATGAATGTCCCAATTCATCCTGTGAGCAGGGCCAGCCACCCAGCTTCTGAGGTCTGGGGTCAACTGCAGTCAGTCTCTGCCTTCTTGCCTGTGACTACAGATGGACTTGCCAGGATCTCAGACAGGACAGTGCCCGGCCACGTGTCCTCTAAGGACACTGCTCGAGCTGCTCTCCACAACCCCCATCCTACAAACTCAGTTTACCTTTTCTATTTAGTCAGTCTTCCCTACAAACAGGTTCTTTCTCCTTCTCTTGACCCTTTCAGCTACTGCCACATTTTTCTGTTTTTTACAGCTAAATTTCCGATTGTGCAAGTATGTTGTTGTCATTAGAGGTCTGTGTGTGTGTTATGGTTGTTATTAGGAGCCATGGAATCAATCATGACTCATAGTGACCCTATGGACGATGGACAGTGGATGTCTGCTCTCCCCTACTCTGTCATGCTCCTCGTCTCAGGTCTACTTCACTTACTGTGTCTCTCTATCTCAATGAGGGTCTTCTTCTCTCTCACCAACTCTCCACCTTCTCACTTTATGATTGGTTACTCCAAGGAGTGAGCGCTCTCCAGTAATAGTGTTCCTCTTGTATGCCAGTGTGTTGTTTTACTGAAAGTGGAGGCACCAAGGTGAACACTCTCTCCCTCCCTTTTTCCCTCTCTCCCTCCTTCTCCCTCCCTCTCTCTCCCTCTCCTTTCTCTCTCCTCCCTCACCTCCCTTCTCTTCCCTCTCCTCTCTCTCTGTCTCCCTTCCTCACCTCCCTTCTCCTCCCTCTCCTCTCTCTCTGTCTCCCTCCCTCCCTCTCTCTCCAGCCTCCCAGGATCTTCTGCTGAGATCCCTTTGAGAGCAGACAGTAATGGTACCTAGGTCACGAAAGTTGAGGTTCACAAGGTCATTTGTACCTTTGGACTAATTGTTTCTATACATCTTTGTTTTTCTTCTCCTTTTTATTCCAGACAGAAAGGGTCCAATAGTTGCATCTTAAATAGCTTTTCACAGCTTCTAAGACCTCAAGGACTATTTGAAAAAATAGGAAGACAAATCTCAAAGTGTAACATCCCCAGCAGAGCTCCTGTGGGGCCTCATTGCTAACGTCTGTAGACTGCCTCATCTCAGCTGCTGGCTCCTTCTCCAGGTCCTTCACCTTAGCAGATGCCTTTGAGATGCTTCAGTCGAAAGACTTGGGGTCATCTTTGACTCAGCTACCCAGAA